TTTGTTAAACTCCATGGGGTTTGCATTAGCCCGCCTCTAAAGCCTGTCAGGGCCCCTCTGGATAGCTTATCCCTTCCCTCCAGCTGTGACTGCTCCACATAGCTTGATGTAGTCAGCGAACTTGCTTAGGGCACACTCAATCCACTTTCCATGTCACCAACAAAGATGTTGAATAGTATCCATACTTTCTTATCTTTTCTTGCAATAGACAAACTAATGTTTTCTCTCAAATATGTAATTCTTGCTTTAGTATTGCATGATACAAGATTGTATTATGAAACTTCAGTTGACTTTACTTGTCAAAGAAGAAAACAGATAACATGGTTCTGCCTTGAGCCCCTTTGCAACTCTACCGAGGCTGCATTTGTTTGATTCATACATCTATAAAATCTCAGCGGTTTTAGTACATCTAAAATTTGAAACCTGCTGTGCTTTATTTTAACTTTCAATATTTTTTCAGGAGCAGCATGGGACTTCAATTGAATAACAGAATGATGCATTTTTGACTCTACTTATTATGTTGGCTAATACCCCTTCAACTGAACAAGGAAGGGCTAAAAAGAGCAGCAAAGTTAACAGATCTATTACTTCGAGTCCACAATCTTGCTGACATTATTTTATATGAACATGGATAAAAATGCCTGGAAACCATACCATTGAATTCCTCTGCTCATTAATATTGATCAAATGTTGTTGTTATCTCTGTGTTGGAAGCCGCTTAAAGATTACCTGTAAAAGTATTACAGTGCTATTGATTCAAAAATCCTAATCCCTGGAGTCCCCTGGTTTTGAAAATTATTTGACAAGTTTGGTTCATTTGTTGGTTTGGGATTTTTTTTACATTTTCTTCTCTTTTTGTTTTCTTCTTTTGGTGAAGAGGGGTGTTTCTGAACTTGCTGCTATAGATCTGAGTAACAGAGAATATCAATCTGATTGTTAGGAAATTAATTACCCAGCATTCAATACCATGTTATTTAAAAGCCTACAAATCCCTATGGAAGTTCACTGGAACCTTTCATCCTCTCGCAGCAGTGTCTACATCTTGCACACCATTTTTGATGCTTAAATGGAATGATGGCAGGATTAGACCCCAGATCCTTCAAGACACTGAAACATGCAGAATTTGCATCAGGGATCCTGGAGCCTCAGTCATAAAAAAACCCCAAAATAACAAACCAAAAAATCCTAACAAAATAATAAATAATTTTCATGTATGTGGGTGTTCATACAGTTTCAATCTCCTGGAGATGTGTGAACTCAGAATCTGGTCCTCTGGATAATTAGGAGAAACCAGGTAGGATGACATAGGCTTTTTAATCTTCAATTGTTCAGTCTTTTCAAACACAGAGGAGTCTAACTCATGTCGTTACTAGTAAATGAATGTTAACTAGTGACAATTAAGTGATTTTTGTTTACTAATTCCAGTACATATAATGAGACTATTCCATTGCTCTCAAAATAATTTTTGAACTACCAGATTCTATTAAGCAAAATACTCAATATTTACATTGAATATAGTATTATTATTTCTCTAAAACAAATAACAACCATAATCAGGTTAAAAAGAAATGCTTATTTGTTTGTGTGGGGCTTTTTCTTCCAGAAATAAGGCATCATAGAAGGCAAAGATTAGTTAGAAATACTGTCATGCACCAGTATATTTATTACTGTGCACCTCAAATGACCTTTTAAGCCTTTGTACTTGGGACTGATCTGAGAAAATGCAAAATCTAAAGGAAATCAATTAAAATAGGCTGAACATGTGCTTAAAAAGCCATATGGAGAAAGCAGCAAGCAAAATGAGAAAGTAATTATTAAAAGATTTATTGTTCTTGGAACATTGGAGATCTGCTTGCATAGAAACAATTAACATACGAGGCTATCTAGAGGTACTTCCCATACTGCAGCACTGTGATAGAAGCTTGGAAAAACATACGCAGTTCATATTCATTAGGAGACCAAAAGTGCAAATTATTAGACATGTTTCTTCCCAAAGTATTTCCTGAAGAGAAGTAATGATACTTGAAATACATGAGTCTTCCTAGACCTGATGGTATATGTTCATACAATCATAGAATCAGCCGGGTTGGAAAAGACGTCCAAGATCATCAGGTCTAACCCTACCGTGTTCACTAAGTGCCACATCCAGTCTCATCTTGAAAACCTCCTGGGACAGTGAATCCACCACCTCCCTGGGCAGCCCATTCTAATACTTGATCACTCTCTGTAAAAGAATCTCTTCCTAATATCCAACCTAAACCTCCCTTGGCATAACTTGAGTCTTTGCCCTCTTGTCCTCCTGCTGGTTGCCTGGGAGAAGAGACCAATCTCCACCTGACTCCAGCCTCCTTGCAGGGAGTCGTAGAAGATGATAAGGTCTCTCCTGAGCCTCCTCTTTTCCAGGCTGAACAGCTCCAGCTCCCTCAGCCTCTCTTCATGGGGCTTGTGCTTGAGTCCCTTCACCAGCCTTGTTGCTCTTCTCTGGACTGGCTCCAGCACCTCAATATCCCTCCTGAACTGAGGGGCCCGGAACTGAGCACAGTGTACCATGACTAATAAAGTGTAACACAGAATGTAGATGAGGAAAGGCAAAAAAGGCAGCAGCCAGGCTCCTTGGTTTCATTTTCATGATTGTTACCTTTTCTTACTACTAATTGCATTTGGAACAAGCTGCTGTATATTCATGTCCCATATTTTTGGGGGTTTAGTGAGACATCCTATGTTTAATGATGTACACAAGCATAACTTCTGCAGAGTTATGTCTTGGAACAGGCTGATAACGTAAGTTGTAATGGAAATGTGTACATGGGTGGTTTCTCAAATTGAAATAACCACACGGGCAATTATGAGTGGGGAATATGTTCTGACATCCTCATCATTCAGTTAATTTTTTTCTTTTGCAAATTACTATTTGCTTGGAGAGAGCAGTTTTCGCTAATGTGATGTCTGGACGAACGCTGCTGCTGTGAACATCTGTCAAACCTGGGTCTGTAATTGAGAACATGAACTAATAGACGGACCCTCAGAAACACTAAACTTTTAAGTTCAAATCATTCAATTCATTCATTCATTGGTTCAATAAGGCAAAGTGCCAGGTTCTGCACTTCGGTCATAACAAACCCCTGCGCAGCTCCAAGCTGGCAGCAGAGTGGCTGGAAAGCTGCCTGGACAGGAAAAGACCTGGGGGTGCTGGTTGACAGCAGCTGAACATGAGCCAGCATGTGCTCAGGTGGCCAGAAGGCTAATGGCAGCCTGGCTTATACCAGCAATAGTATGGCCAGCAGGTCCAAAAGAGTGAACGTCCCTTGTACTGAGCACTGGTGGGGCCTCATAGCAGGTCCCAGGTTGAGGTTTGGGCCCCTCATGACAAGAAAGACATTGAGGTGTTGGAGTGTGCCCAGAGAGGGGAACGGAGCTGGGGCAGCGTCTGGAGCACAAGTCTGATGGGGAGCAACCGAGGGAGCTGAGGAGGCTCAGTCTGTAGAAAGAGAGGCTCAGGGGGACCGTATCACTGTCTACAACTACCTGACAGGAAGATGCAGCCACATGGGGATCAGTCTCTTCTCCCAGGCTACTAGAAATAGAAAAGGAGGAAATGTCCTCGAGCTGTGCCAGGTAAGGTCCAGGCTGGATATCAGGAGTCATTTCTTCACAGAAAGAATGGTCAGTCATTGGTACGGGCTGCCCAGAGAGGTGGTGGGATCACCATCCGTGGAGGTGTTCAAGAAATGACTGTACATGGGGCTTAATGCTCTGGTCTAGTTGATAAGGTGATGATTGGTCAAAGGTTGGACTCGATCTTGGACATCATTTCCATCCTAGATGATTTTGTGACTCTGTGATTCTGTAATTCCCAGTGCTGATTGTCAGTAGATCATGCTGTAGAATTCTTTTCTGTTTTGTTTGGGTTTGGTGGTTTTTTAGAGTGCAATTTTAAGTGAGCGAATAATTGACTTTGCATTTCAATGGGCAGTGATCATCACCATTTTATGTACATGGCACGAGTTGCAAATAACATACTTTATTTTGAACTCACAAAACGTTTTACACACAAACTGGCACATAGGTCATTCTAATCAGTGGTTGCTAGTCCTTTAATACAAGATTAGGGAAAAAAATGTCATCAAAATTCCAAGTGTTTTCTTCTGCTAGGAGTCATGTTACAGGTGGTACTACTAAGATAATAAAATGCGAAAAGCTTTTAACAGCTGCTGTTAAATGTTTAAATTTTGGACATCAGGTTATAAGAATCTCTTATTTAAAGGTTTTTAAAGTTCTTATCATTGAAGACCTAATAAATTAGACCTCACTGCTGAAGGGTCATGTGTCCTAGGATGTGTTTAGTTGAGGAAAATGTACTCAGAAGAGCTTTTTGAAATCGTCTTGAAGTGGATGTGCTAAATAGGCACTCAGTGGAAAAGGAATAGTTGGTTTAGCAGCTGCTAACTGCTGGCCCAGACAGTCACATATCCAGAAAGTCACCCAAAGCCATAGCAAAGATCTCCTCAGACTACTAACTTGATTTGCAGTGATCATTCAGGGATATTGTACATGTCACTCTGTACATGACAGACATGTTTGATTAATACCTATTTCCTCAGTGGTGTGAAAGTTAGAATGTCTGTTATCTTTAATAGGAGTGCAAGATTTAGTTTCTCTGTCTCCTGTCTTCTCTTACATTAAAAAATAATGCTGTGATTAATGAGTAGTGACATGCTTCATAGTTTTTCTTGTTCATAAAGATCCGTACTCCAAGTATCTGAAGTAAGTGAAGACTGTATCTTACTTGGTTAGTGGAATACAAAGATCTACATAAGGTGTTTTATTTCTTTGATGAATGCTTAGATATGACTAAAATTATTATGGTTGTTACTATGTATATGTACATACTTCTCTGTTTTTCTCCCCTCTCCCAGGACCCTGCCTTCCTAATCCGTGTCATAATGGTGGGATATGTGAAATTAGTGAAGCGTACCGAGGCGACACCTTCATAGGATATGTTTGTAAATGTCCAGAGGGATTTAATGGGATTCACTGCCAGCACAGTAAGTTCCACATGGTAAATTTTATTGTATTTGTAGATAGGAGCCTTTTTATTGCCTGCAATGTTAAGGATTAATACCAGATCTGGTTTCTGAAGCATATCAGTCTTTGGCCTTTATATTATGCACAAATTAACACTACTGACTGCTACTGCTACCTTCAGAAAAATGACCTGACTATCAGCCTGCTGGACACAACCTTGCATAGTGTGCTAGGCATATTTTAGAGCATGACAAGGACAATGTAACCACGTTTTACATGGACTTAACAGAAAAGTGTATTTGAAATAGTGGGGATCTATTCTTATCTCAGTATTGTTTATGGGTTTGTTTTTATTAGTGATAGACAAAGGGAGAAAGAGTAACTGACAAGAAATATGTGAATAAATATGTCTTTTAGATCTTTCTTCATCTATATCTTTACAAATTATGAAGTAATGTTTTACATCACAGTACTTAAATTCAAGGATAGAAGCTCCAGACTTAAGTCTGGTGTACATTAATCCTGTTTAACATGCACTATCTGGATCACTTTCTAATCATTACCATTTATTTGAAGAGTCTTTCCTATTTTCAGGTCAGATTGGGAACAACAGGTCAGTATCCTGCTCTTAAGAGTGTGTACATACAGAACTAACAAGTAGCTATATGGGAAAACAAACCTTGAGTGTGCCAGATTTGGCTGGAGTTAATTTCTTCACAGTAGCTGTTACGGGGATGTGTTTTGAATTTGTGCTGAAAACAGAATTGATAATTCAGGGATGTTTTAGTTACTGTTTGTTGGGCAGTGTTTACATGGAGTCAAAACCTTTTCTGCTTCTCACCCCACCCCACCAGTGACCAAAACCAATTAGTAAGAGATATGTATGCCCATCTGCAAGTGACTGATGAGGTCCTGTGCTAACCTTTAAGTACAATCTTCACTCTCTGTCACTTGAATAGAAACTGGGGGGTTTTTAATATGCAAAACTCATTTAGAACAAGAGCTTGCCTAAGGAGAAATTCATGAACCAAATTTTTATTTTATTTTGTGCATGCATGGTTCTTAAACCCAGCACAAGATGGTTCTTAAAAGCTCGTGTTATTGATGCATTTGGAAGCCAACTGTTACTCAAAAGGTTAAAAACTCAGCAAGCAATCAAGAACCCTGTTCCATTTGCAAGTAAAAGATTAGTTCACTTATTCAGATCAGAGTGAATAAGTGCTGAATCCTGCTTACCTTAATTAATTGCTTCATTTAGATACTTGTCTATAATTTGAAGTGTCAGGGACCAATACAGTCCAGCTCAACTAGCTACTTAATGTTCATTGTGTCCCTTATATACTCAATGGAAAGTGTCTCCAAAGACCAGAATATGGACATTCACTTTCATTAACTTTGGTCACATTCTCAGTTAATTATGTAGGAAATCTAGGCAGTGCCACTAACTTAATCTAGTGAAAATATACACCTGCTTCTTCCACTGGGAGCATGAAAATGTGTCCTTGATGTCCAATCATACGGATGAGTTCATGTGAAAACATCCTTACACAGATTCAGATTCTCAGGCATGCTTCATCATGGGACCAGTCATGTAATCATTGTGTGTTATACAACACTTCTTCCAGTAAATGTCAAGAAGGTGACCTTTGTTAAAGAAGTGAATAATAACACAACTTTTCATCAGGGAAAATGCAGGTCCTGTTTGGAAAATGTCATCTCTCATTACTTAGTTCATGAAAGAAAACTTCCAGTTAGTGCATTATGGAGTGAATCATCATAGTTGTTTGCTGGGTTCCCTGTATCCTTTATTCTGGTATGTAACGGTCAACTGTTATACATATAGTTCAATTTCAGAACAAAGCAGAGTTCTCACATGGGTGATTCAGGTTTACTGAGGGAAGACTAGAACCCAAGAAGGCATTTGAGAGAAGACAAGTTTATATGAACAGTTACTCTTGGGGGAGAATGAAATTCAGTCCTTTTCAGATAATCTGATTTAAGATGTGATAATAAATCAGATACGCTATACAGGTGTTCAGAGGGTCTCTAAGGATGTTAGCTATGAGAAGAGGCAAGATGGTCTCTGCAATCAGGAGGAACTATAGGACTTTCAGTAGTAGACTGTGATACCACTTTAGCTCAATTCACAGAGTTCCTTTCATACAAAGTCCTCTGCTTTATAAAATTTAGCAATTCAATTCTGAACTCACTGTAAATCAAGTAAAAAGTCTGTCAAGTTTATCATAAAAAAATAAAATGACCACATTCTAAACTGTCAAGAATTCCAAATACCACGTTACAGTTCTCTTCTATAGGTTTTTTTATCTTGAATTTCTTTCATGTCTAGTATTCTGTTACCAGATCAATTAAGCTAGGTGATTGATTTTTCAGTTGAGATACATCCCCAGAGCTGGTATTTCATCACTCACATCAACAAACACCCTGTCAATATTTCTGAGATTTGTTGACCATTTACCCATGTGAATAATTAATATGTAAATTATAAAAGAGATCCTTAGCAATTTCACTGATTTTATATTCATTATTTATTGCAAAACTGATTTTAATTGGCAGTGATTGTCTGAAAAGATTCTGATTCCCCAGTGCCAAAACAAAAACCAGTCTCCGATTTGAAGGCTTATAAACTAACCAGTGTTTGGAGAGAAAAGTCTACCTCAGGTAGAAACCTGGACAGATTTTTGTGATGATATCTACAGGCAATATATTCTTTTAAAATCCTTACATTATTTAAGAGACATTTACTTACCTGACTGGAATCAAGATTCTTCCCGAACCCTAATTTAGAGCACCTAAATTCCTGAAACTTGTATACAACCTATGTCCAGGAAGACTAAGGTGTAGACTGTGGTGGTGATGCTCATTCATGAGAAGAGCTAATAATTTTGTTCCTTCAGGATAAATTTGACTGAAAGCCATGTAAATACATGGCCTTGTCATTCACCAAAAGGAGGTGCTGGGTGTCTGGAGTGAGGTCAGAGGAGACCACAAAGATACTTAGTGGACTAGAGCACCTCTGCTCTGGAGACAGACTGAGAGACCTGGGGGTATTGAGCCTGGAGAAAAGGAGGCTCCAGGGAGACCTTAGAGCCCCTTGCAGTGCCTAAGTTGCTCCAAGAGAGCTGGAGAGGGACTTGGGACAAGGGCCTGGAGGGACAGGACAAGGTGGGAATCACTTCACACTGGCAGGAGGCAGGGATAGATGGGACATTGGGAAGAAATTCTTCCCTGTGAAGATTGTGAAGTACTGGCCCAGGTTGCCCAGAGAAGCTGTGGCTTCTCCATCCCTGGAAGTGTTCCAGGCCAGGTTGGATGGGGCTTTGAGCAACCTGGGCTGGTAAAAGGTGTCCCTGCCCATGTCAGGGGCTTGGAACTAAATGATCTTTAAGGTCCCTTCCAACCCAAACCATTCTGTGATTCTATATTAAAACAGCCCAGACCAAATGAAAATCCAGGGAAATACCCTAAAGACTGGAATGGACATTTTTTCCACTAATAAAATAGAATGAAATAAAATAATAATCCAGAACATTGAGAGATACAGACAATATGCAATATTGTGGTTATCAAACAGAGATTTCCTGATGGAAAAAAATTAAGAAATTGAGGCATGAGTCACAATATATGTTACTAGCTGCCACTCAACTATTTGAAATGACAGAGATCCAACCAGGAAAATTAAAGTTTGAAAGAATAAAGGGTTCAGATTTAAGGGTTTGATTTGCTTGTGGTTTTATATTCTGAGGATCATTAACTCTGTCAGACATAACTAAATGCCTCACACTCCAAGAATAAGGGTTATTAATTGAACGCATTTAATTATGTAACCAAGCCCTTCCCAGTGCCTGTACTGAATTATCTGCTTGCTACCTCCCTGTCATAGATGGTCTGTGATACTCACATCTGCTGCACTAATGTATTGGGAAACTGCACAGGCTGGGCCATGTGGCAGAGCACCTGCTTGCATTTTGATTGTATGTAGAGGCTTCCTCTCAGCTATCCATAAAGCAGTGGTTTTAACTGTGGGGCTGCAACTGGAAAGGTTTGTGGCCATACATTTCTGTCCAGCTGACATGATGCATAATTTGCAGCTTTAGCTCTACCAGCAAATTCAAATCATAGAATCATGGAATCTTCTGAGTGGGAAGGGACACACAAGAAACATTGAGTCCAATTCCTGGCCCTGCACAGGATGGCTCCAGGAATCTGTCCATGCTCCTGGAGATCTATCAGGCTGTGTGCTGTTACCACTGCCCTGGGGAGCTGTACCAGTGCCCAGTCACCAATTGAGTGAAGAACCTTTTCCCATTATCCAGCCTAAATGTCTCCTGACACACCTCCATGACATTTCCTTTCGTCCTTGTCAATGGTTGCCAGAGAGCAGAGGTCGGTGTTCCCCCACCCCTGCCCCTCACAAGGATGCTGTAGTCTTCCATGTGTTCTCCCCTCAGCCTCCTCTTCTCCAGGCTGAACAGACCAAATGACCTCAGCCACTTCTTGTATGGCTTCCCCTCGAGGTTCTTCACAATCTTTGCAACCCCTCCTTTGAATGCTTTTTAGATCTTTCTTATGTTGCAGTGCTCAAAACTGCCTCCAGGACTGGAGGTGAGACCACACCAGCACAGTGTCAAGAGGGACAATCCCCTCCCTCAACCAGCCAGTGATGCTGTGCCTGATGCACCCCAGTGTTGAAGAATGGCTAAGGGAACAGGGCCACAGCCCCGAGAGTGCATTGTGCGAGCAAGAGTCGAGCAAAGGCCTATGGGAACTTTGAGCATATAACTAGGAAGTAGGCCTCAGGCATTTAGCTTCACAGCATAATGTTGTAAGCTCAAGGACAGGCTATCCGGGAGAACAAAGAAGAATTCTCCAGAGAATAAAGAAGGGTTCTTCACAGCTGCAACCGCAAGCAGAAAAAGTATATAAATGTAACTTTTAGAGCTTAGGTAATGCTCTTAGGTAATGCTAAAGGATGAATAGGCGCATTTGTCGTGTACCGTAT